CACCCCCGATGGACAGGGCCGGGCGGTGTGGGGAAGCGGCTTTCGCCCCAGGGGCTGGCTGTTCCATCCACCCCGGGTGCGGGAAGGGCGCGGACCGAGTGGACGCCTGGGGCAGGAGGAGGCTTCAGGGCCGAGGATGGGGTCTGAGTGCAGCCTGGGGTTTGCTTCCGGTTTGTGACCATCTCAGGGAGGACTGGGGAGGACCCTGGCCGGGAGCCCCAACTTTATTCTAAACACATTTTTATTGCCCCGGCCGGTGTGGCTCAGTGGATAGAGCGTAGGCCTGTGGACCATAGGGTCCTGGGTTTGATTCCGATCAAGAGCAGGTACCTTGGTTGCAGGCTCCCCCCGGGGCCTGGTCCCTGGTCAGGGCTCGTGCAGGAGGCAACCAATCAATGCATCGATGTTTCTGTCTTTCCCCGTCTCTTCCTCTCTCTCTAGAAATTAATGGCAAAATATCCTCGGGTGAGGATTTTAAAAAAATTTATATATATATATATATTATTGATTTCAGAGAAGAAGGGAGGGAGATAGAAACATCAATGATGAGAGAGAATCATTGATTGGCTGCCTCCTGCATGCCCCACACTGGGGATTGAGCCCCCAACCCAGGCATTGAACCCTGACCTCCTGGTTCATAGGTCAACGTTCAACCACGGACCCATGGCGCGCTGGGCCAGGTGTTGAATGGTATCTAAGGACAGTGAGGAGGACAAGTGTTAGTCTCTAAGCAGAGCCCTCCGGGTACCTACAGGGGCTGGCACACTTACCAGCTGGGTAGCAGGGCCAAGAAAGAGGCCGTGAGGTGACCCGGGCCAGATGAGGTGGGGCCAGGCAAATGGCAGGGCGGCCCCTGCCTTCTCCTCCCCTCCTCTTCCAGGATATGGAGACACTGCTTGACCACGGGGCGGACCCCAGCCTCAGGGACAGGCACGGACGCTCTGCGCTCCACAGGGCTGCCGCTGGCGGACACCTGCCTGCTGTCCAGCTGCTGGCAGCCCGGGGAGCGGAGGTGGATGCTCGAGACTCACTGGGCCTCACACCCCTGCACCACGCTGCCCGGAGCGGCCATGTGGAAGTCGCCAGCCATCTCCTGGACAGGGGCGCACAGGTCGACGCTGCTGGCTGGCTCCACTCTACACCCCTGCACCTCGCTGTGGAACGTGGCCACAGCCCCGCCGCCGAGCTTCTGCTGAGCCGAGGGGCCAGCCCTGCCCTGAGAATGCAGTGGGGTGAGGTGACCCAGGACCAAGTGGCCGAGGAGGGCCTGTCCCAGGCACAACCTCCCCTTTGCAGAGAGCAGAATGACTGCTAGGGTCCGGCTCGTGTGGCTCAGTGGTTCAGCATCGACCTATGAACCGGGAGGACACGGTTCGATTCCTGGTCAGGGCACATGCCCGGGGTTGGGGGCTTGATCTCCAGTGTGGGGTGTGCAGAAGGCGGCCGATCCATGATTCTCTCTCATCACTGATATTTCTATCCCTCTCCCTCCCCTTTCCTCTCTGAAATCAATAAAAGTAGATTAAAAAACCAAGAATGACTGCCAGGGGCACACAGCTCGGGGGGCCTGAGCCGTACAGCGCAGGACAGGAGGCTCCTGGCTCCCACAGCTGTGGGCGTGTGTCAGGATCCCCTCTTCCGAGCTGAGACCTGCCTGGGTGGAGGGGAGAACAGACAGGAGTTCCTGGAACAGAAGCGGACAGTGGCTCGAGCCCAGCAATGGGCCTCTGGCCTGACCTGGGACTGCCCCCACTGACTCCCAGGGGCGCATCGCCTCCGCAGTCCCAGCCTTCTCCACGTTCTCTGGTAGAGACACTGACTCATGGCCATAGATTTGACCACAGCCTGATGGCCTGACCTTTGTCTGTCCACCGTGGGGGTGTCACCCTCAGCTCTCTCTGTCTCTGGGGGTGCTCTTACTGTGCTATCTTCGATTTGGCATTTGAGGATTTGCATCCCTTGATGTCAGGGCTGAACCCCTGGCCACAGTCGTTTACAGCTCCCCTGCGATCCAGAGCCCACACACCCACTAATATTCCCCACCCCAGGTCCCCTGGGCCAGGCACCAGGCAGCTAGGGGTGGCCCCTGTGCAGCAAGGCCCCCAGGGATGACCCAACAAGCCAGTCCCAAGAGGTTTCCCTGCCCTGCGTTGCCTTTCCTGCTGGAACCCCAGTAAAGGCTCTAGCCTGAACCCCTCTTCCCCACTCCTGCCTCCTCACTGATACTGGTCTTCCTGGGGCACTGTGGGCCCTGGCATGTCCCCTCCACTAGGACATGCAAGTAATAAAAATCTCTCCCTGCTGCCCTGACCGGTGTGGCTCAGTGGATAGAGCGTCGGCCTGCGGACTGAGGGGTCCTGGGTTCGATTCCGGTCAAGGGCATGTACTTTGGTTGTGGGCACATCCCCAGTGGGAGGTGTGCAGGAGGCAGCTGATCGATGTTTCTAACTCTCTATCTCTCTTCCTTCCTCTCTGTAAAAAATCAATACAATATATATTTTTTTAAAAATCTCTCCCTGTTGCCACTCAGCCGTCTCCACAAATGAGACCCCACCCCCACCCCAAACAGTTGAAACAGACAGTTGTCTCCGACTGCCCACCCCTGTACCCTCATAAAATGCCTTTATTCAAAGCGGTTGAGCTTCAATCCAGGAACCAAGAGGTCGCCAGTTCAATTCCCAATCAAGGGCACATGCCCAGGTTTCGGGCTCGGCTAATCCATGATTCTCATCATTGATGTTTCTCTCTCTCTCCCCATCTCCCTTCCTCTCTGAAATCGATAAAAAAATATTTTTTTTAAAAAGGAAAGAAACGGAGCAAAATGTAAGCAGCTGGTGCATTTGCGGAGAATGTATTACAGAATTCCTTCAACTAGTGTTGCAACTTTCCTAGAATTTAAAGTTACATCCAAAGAAAACATTATAAAGAAATTGCACTTACTCTTTTGCCCCCTCACTATTTTTTCCCCCTCACTATTTTTTATGATAAAATACGCAAAATGTAAAATCTACCAGTTTAAGCATTTCAAAGGGTCTAATGCTGTGGCGTTTAGGACTTTCACGACTCATGCAACCGCCCCCACTACCCAGTGGCAGAACGTGTCATCACTCGAAAGGAAACCCTGTCCCCGGGCCACTCCCCGCGCCCCCTCACGCCCCGTCCCGTGGGTGGGTGTCCGTGGACCCGCCCGTTCTGGGTATTCATGGGAGAGAACCAAACAACACGAGGCCTTGGTGCCCTGCAGATTCCCGCCCGGGGGGCGGATGGTCTATTATAGCGGTTCTCAACCTTCTGGCCCTTTAAATACAGTTCCTCATGTTGTGACCCAACCATAACGTTATTTTCGTTGCTACTTCATAACTGTAATGTTGCTCCTGTTATGAATCGTAATGTAAATATCTGATATGCAGGATGGTCTTAGGTGACCCCTGTGAAAGGGTCGTTTGACCGCCAAAGGGGTCGCGACCCACAGGTTGAGAACCGCTGGTAGACTCTTGCTTCTCCACCGCCCCCACCGTGGGAGTCCACGCCCACACCCAGACTCGGGGGAGGAGGGGAGGGAGACCCCAGGAGGCTGCGCGCGCACTGGGG